ACCCCGCCCACCCACATAAAAGGGAACAAAGAAATCGGTAACAAAACTCGTCAAGATGTGATATTGAAATACGACAAAAGGACACTGGACAGATGACACACAGTTTGATTTTTATTTATTTTTTTATTTTTTTGGACACAGTTTGATTTGTATGACGAAGGAACACTCATTGCAGGAGAAAAGGGATTTGTCCCTTGACCAATCGTTCAGGTCAAAAGCTACAAGCACTGGGATCTTTAAACCACCAGTATCTACCGGTTGGGCTGGCCGTTAACGAGGAATCCGAATCGGCCTGTCCCTCCGGTCCAAATTCATTCGAGGCGTGGGGGTACAAAAAATGCGGTGGGTACTGGTGGTTTAAGCGCCAACAGTAAGAGTGAGCACATCATATCACACAACACCACGCAATTTCCACGAACTCTAGAGAGAGAGAGAGAGAGGGGTGGGGAAGAAAACCATTAAAAAAAAAAAAAAAAAAAAAAAATCAAATTCGTCGGTTTCCTCTCAGGCCCTTGGCAGAGTTCACACATTGATTCGGAGGGCACCACATTGCTTTTCCTTTTCTATTCCATCCTCGTGAAAAGAAGGGAAGGAGTGTACGCCAGGGCGGTTGGTTAGCAAAGGGATTAGATTCCTTTTCTGGGATAAGCCAGCCCCATCTGGCAATGTTCAGAAAGGCTACTGAGGCCATGGTAGAAATATGTGACCTGGCAAGCCCCAAGGCTCATATCTGTGATTCGCCTGCTGCACGCTCATTTATTTATTTATTTATTTATTTATTTATTTATTTATTTATTTATTTATTTATTTATTTATTTATTTATTGAATTTTAAATTCTTTTATTTATTTATTATTATTTATTTATTATTTATTTATTTATGCTCGACAGGTTCTTCAGAATTACTTGTACCATATCAGCAACCTGGCCACGCCGGGCTGAGGGCCAGGACACCTTTTTGGGCGCACAAGGCCACACCTTGGCTGCTGAGGCATCATAATTTGGGAACCGGGCCAACGGGAACTGTACAATTTACTAATTTTCTTTTTGGTACCATTGGTTTGACCGTCAAGAAGAAAAAGAAGACCGAAGGACTCAAGACGTGGACATGAGGGGTTTGCACCTGACGGGTTGGGGGTGAGGGAGAGAGACAGAGACAGAGACAGAGACAGAGACAGAGACAGAGACAGAGACAGAGAGAAACCATCAGGAAGCACCTGACGGTTTTAATCTCAGTCAGTGTGACAATCTCATGTGCGCGCGTGCGAGAGAAATAGACGGGGAGCAAGAACGAGCGAGCGAGAG